GCAGTGACTTATGGGGCTGGCACAATTTTTTTTTCCGGTGCTGCTTTGTATCCCCAGTCCGGCCCTGCATGCTGAATGCATGTATAGAGGCTAGCCACATCACATGTGACAAGTAAGAAATCTTCCTCCCACTTAACATCTTTTAAAATTTGTAACAAACTCATAGAGACTTTAAGGAAGGAGGGACAGGTCCTAACTATCGGCTGTAAAAATGTATCAACATATTTGGATAAAGGTGATAGTAAAGATCCTATCCCTGAGACTATAGGCCTCCCAGGTGGATTTTGTATATCTTTATGCAACTTTGGTAGAACATATATAACGGGTATCCTTGGGAATTCTGTATTTAAGAATTTATATTCCTTAGATGTCAAGATTCCCTTCACAAGACCCTTATCTAAAAAATTTTTATATATTCTTTCCTTATCTCAGTCGATGGGTTACTTTTAAGTTTTCTATAAGTTTCTTGATCGTCTAATTGGCGTTTAATTTCCGCTAAATATGTGTCTTTGTTCAAAATTACCACTCCCCCCCTTATCGGCGGGTTTGATGACTATATTCTTATCTTTCTTTAGATCTATCATTGCTTTTTTTCTCTTTTATAGTTAAATTATTTTGATACTTATTGTTCTTAACTTTTATTTCTTTTATATCTTTAATGCATGCTTTTTCAAAAATCTTCATTTCTTTAGACTTTAAGTAAATAGGATAAAATGTATAAGGTTTTTTAAATCTGTATGTTGAAATTCATTAGCTTCGTCCTCTTGACTTTTCATATCAGTGGTCTCTTTCTCATTAAAAAACTTTTTTAAACACAGTTTTCTAGTGAACCTATTCAAATCTGTATAAATTTCTAATTTGTTAATGGGACAGCTAGGAGCAAACTTAAAACCTTTACTTAAAACTTTTTTATGATTTTCATCTAAAATTTTATCTGATAAATTAAAAATCTTTATCTGCACTTTTTTTTTCCTTCAGGCCTCCTCATTTCTCTCATTTCCATTTCTTCCAATTCTCCTATTTCCCCCTCCTCATACTCCCTGTATCTTCTTTTCTGTGGAAATGGATTTGTCAAACGTCTGTCTCTTTGGCCTCTCTCTAAAAAAGGGTCAAAGTTTCCATTATCATTTCTTTTTAATGGTTCATACCTGTTATATGTAGGAATGGATCTCTTTGGTGGTAGTGGGGTCCTATATTGTTCTCTTTCCTTATTGTCTCTTCTATTTATTCTATTACTTTCTACTTTTTGAAAATTCTTTTTCCTTCTTACTTCTACCCAATCATTAGTCTTGTTCCTATTTGGATACTGAATAGACTCATTTCTGTGTAAATTTTCCTTATCCTTCATTTGGGTTGTCCTATTTTCATATTTTTTCTCAAACTTCTTGTTAGTTCTAGGTTTTTTCCTAACATTATTGGTCGCATAGTCGTTGTGATCTCTCTGGAATTTACTCTTTTTACTAGAAATTAATGATGCTTCCAATTTTTCCAATTTGGTACTAATTAAGTTGGTTAATGTCACAAGGACTTAAAACTCACAGTGTCTCTCTCTACACTTTTTGGAACACCACAATCAGGATCCAAGTGGGATCAAGTTTTGTGGGATCCAAACTGTTACAAAACATTGGAGAGGGGGTGATATTAATTCAAATTTGAACAAATGCGAAATGGGCTGGATCTTTAATTTGCATACACTATCACCTAAAGGACTTAATATGGAGTTTGAAATGAGTGTGCTCATTTAATGTGTATTTTTTACTGTTTAAGACATTTTTATTAATATATGTATTAACGATCTATATGTTTTACCATGTTATCTTTTACAGGTATTATATAAATTATGTGGTCTCTTCTCTTATGATATCAAAAAATTCTCTCTTTTCATCTTTGAATATATTCATATATTGGTTCATTTATATAGTGTTACCTTTTATATATTATTAGTATATGTTTTTTAAAGAATAAGAGATGTTTTATCTTTTAAAACCTAAGAATAAATATTGCCAGGATGGTCCTACATCTATTGAATAATATAAAATACTTTGTAATATGGCCGCGGTTGCTTCAGGAATGTAATATGCATCACTTCCGGGTTCGGAGAAAAATGTCTGACGTCAGACGCAATCTGATGTAAAAGAAGGCGGGAATGAGGAAGTCGTCCGGCGGAACCAGGAAGCAGATGTACGCAACTAAAATGAAGAATTTGGCGCCAAATTTGAATACCAAATTGGTATATATACAGGACACGGAGACTAATGCCTTATGCACTTTGATAAAAACTCTTGATAGTCGAAACGCGTCAGTGCTGCTTTTGCTGTTATTTGCTTTCACTTTTATGCACTTTATATGTCCCTGTTTTTATTTTATATGTAATTACATTTTTGACAAGTATCCCCACTTTCTTCTGGAATTATTTATATCTCCTGTATCCTGGCACAAGTGGAGTGATCCGGAGGTGTGGTGGAGCTATATATACCAGGGATTTTCAAAAGAGCTACAA